AATATATCTTCAACCTTGGTCCAACTGTTTTGTATTTTTTGGAGCAGGGAGGGGGGGGAGGGCTCGACAGGGAATAAGACAGTGTTGGACAGTTTTAGAGAGTTTTATTTGGGAGTCTAGGGTTTCTAAGCAACCTCTCCTTTAATTTCTCTTGAGCTTCTTCAATAGTTCTCACTTTGATTCTCAGCCGAAGCCGGGTAATGGCCCCAGTATCTCAAATGACTTGTGTAACTCTATATGGGACGCTGGGCCCGGTTCCCAGCACTTGCTGCTCCCCACGAATAGATTGGAGTTTTTGTCCCAAAAAAAAAAAAAAAAAAAAAAAAAAAAAGTCCTGATCAACCACATAGCTGCCACGTGGCAGGATTGTGACAACAGCAGAAAGTCTCATAACCTCATACCACACCGATTCATCTTCACGCCAATCAACAGCAAACCGCTCTTCACCTGCCTCTCATTCACGCCGACGATTCCCACGATCAATATGGGAAGAGTAGCCGACACCCTTGCCACTCTGTACAGTGAGACGAGTGAGCCACAAGCTACTCACGAGACTACCGTGATACAACCATAAAGACATGATTGAAGGACACAATGTACAGTAGGCTACAAGACAGGATAGAATGTACAGTAGGGTACAAGACAGGATAGAGAATGGCTCGGCGCATAGTAAACTGCAGCCCTGTTTACAGCACCGCCGCACAACAGAGAGGCAACACACTGGCTCTAGCACTCACTCTACACAAACTGCAGCCTGTACACAAACTGCAGCCTGGCATACAGCACCACCGCACAACAGTGAGGCAACACACGGGCTCTAGCACTTAGTCTACACAACGTCTGTTGGAAACAGCCCTCGCTCAGCACGGGCTCTAGCACTTAGTCTACACAACGTCTGTTGGAAACAGCCCTCGCTCAGCACAGCAGGCGCCTCGGCGCTAAGAGCTATCCTGTAGCGGTGAGTAGAAGGTTTAAGGCCTCAGGGAGGGTTTAGGACAGTGACTGATTCTGGGGCGGAAGAAGCAGAAGGCCAAGACTCCTAATAGTAAGTCAGGTCATCTGTGTGAGGGTTTTTAGGACAGTGACTGACTCTGGGGATGAAGAGCAGAAGGCCAAGACTCCTAATAGCAAGTTAAGGTGATCTGTGTAGACTACCATTTGCCCTTGACAGCGACTCAGGCTACTGAGTGCCTCCTCCTGCCAAAACAGCATTCTTAGAGGTGCGCCCAGTAGCCTGCAGTTATTACAATTGCATGCCTGCTCACACAAACAGCCATTACAATTGCATCTCTACTCATACAAACAAATCACAATGTTCAGGGACGCTGGACCCGCTTTCCAGCAGGTGCTGCTCCGCACCAATAGAT